AGAAAGCAGGAAAGGGAAGGGGATGAGAAAGAGCCATAACCATAAAACCATGAATTCAACTTTGCTGTGACAGATAGACATATCACTGTTGCCTCAGGGACCTCAGAAGAAGAAATCAATTGTGTGTAAAGGAAAGCAGGATGTTTCGAAGCTGTACCTAGGACCAAAACTTTGAGGCATGGTGAAAGCCCAGCAGCTTTGCAATCTAAACGTGTCAAGTGTTCTTCTGCCTACCACCATCGCTCACCAGAAAGCAAACCTTTGGATTAACACCTCAGCCTCTCACACAGAGGTAGACAAGTCTCAGGAGAGTGGCAAAAATATATCAATCAAGCCATTCTTTGGGAAATGTGAAACACATTAAGATGTTGGAAAGGCTGGTGGCCTGTTATTACCATCAGTGGCAATATGTGCTTCTACTGAAGTTCTCAGAGTAGGGGAACTTGATAAAAACAGCACCATATTATTATATATTATAATGAGGAAGGAAATGCATGAGAGAAGCAATTTTTAGAAAGTAGGATGACAGAAAGATTAAATATTTTCCTATGGAGTGCCAGAAGGTACAAAATTTATCAGGTTGGTTAAGAGGATGAGAGGAAGCGAAGTTTTTGTGGATCCCAGGTTCTGCCGTCTACTATTTTCCTGTGTCTTGTTTCTTCTGTCTTACATGAGGATAATAAAGGTGAAACACTGACACGTGGGGCAATTTAGCAATAAGATGAGAACTGCACAGGCACGGGTCTTAGCAATAGTCAGAGCACTAAGTTTTAGCTTTGCCATCAGTTGAATCTTTCCCAAAAGAAGCCATGAGACTGGAATGGTGTGCAAGTAGTTGATTTGGGAGGTGATTTCCACTAGCATGTGGCATACACAGCACTGAGACAGCAAGACAGGACAGCTGATAGAGGAGTCTATCCTGACAATGGGTTGACCAGATCTCCAGTTGGTATGTTAGCCAACATGAGGGAGGGAGCTAAAAGAGTAGTAGCCCACTTGGACACTGAGCTGCCATGGGCTAAATCTGTGCAGGGGTTCTAGGTTATCTCCATGAATGGTCCTTGGTTGGAGTATCAGTCTCAGAAAAGACCCCTGTGCCCAGATTTTTTGGTTCTGTTGCTCTCTTTGTGAAACTCCTGTCCTCTCCTGTCCTATCTCCCCTTTCTTTCATAATGTTCCCTGCACTCTGCCCAAAGTTTGGTAATGACACTCAGCATCTGCTTTGATACATTGCTGGGTAGAATCTTTCTGAGGCCCTCTGTGGTAGGCCCCTGTCCTGTTTCCTGTTTCTCCCTCTTCCAATTTCTGTCCCATTTGCCTTTCTGAGTGAGGATTGATCATCTTACCCAGGGTCATCCTTCTTGTTTAGCTTCTTTGGGTGTACAAATTTCAGTATGTTTATCCTGTATTATATTATATTATATTATATTATATTATATTATATTATATTATATTATATTATATTATATTATATGTCTAGTATCCACTTATAACTGAGTATATACCATGTGTATCTTTCTGCTTCTGGGATACCTCACTCGGGATGATCTTTTCTAGATCCTATCATTTGCCTGCAAATTTCATGATTTCTTTGTTTTTAATTGCTGAGTATTCCATTGTGTAAATGTACCACAATTTCTATATCCATTCCTCAGTTGAGGGACATCTGGGTTGTTTCTAGGTTTTTGCTATTACAAATAAAGCTTCTATGAACATGGTTGAGCAAATGTCCTTGTTGTGTACTTGAGCATATTTTGGATATATGCCTGGGAGTGGTATAGCTGGATCGTGAGGAAGTATCCAAGTGTGTTCCCTAGTAAGGGGAACAGGGATTGTCTCTGACATGAACTCAGTGGCTGGCTCTTTGATCACCTCCCCCTTAGGTAGGGGAGCAGCCTTACCAGGCCACAGAGGAAGACAATGCAGCCAGTCCTGATGATAGACTAGGGTCAGATGGAAGGGGAGGAGGACTTCCCCTATCAGTGGACTTGGAGAGGGGCATGGGAGGAGATGAGAGATGAAGGGTGGGAATGGGAATGGGAGGATACAAAGTGAATAAACTATAATTAATATAAAAAATTAAATTAAATTTAAAAAAAGCAGTAGCCCTGTATTCTTACCCAACAAAAGGCACTGTAAAGCATGAGCCAACCTGCATTGATTAACCTGACCAGTGTGATTTTTTTTTTTTTTTGGATCACTAAAATAAGGTAACACCACAGCTTTTAAGTCTTAGGCTATGCCCAATAAAAATAGCAAGCAAATAGTTGTTTCAATGGAACATGTGCCCAACATGAATGAGAACACCATACACACTTCCAATGGAAAATCAGTATCGTTAGCTATCTAAATATACTCAAGCAAGGGCTAGTCAACTTAACTGTGACTTTTACTGGGCCTTCAAGGGCAATAAGGTCACCTAACATTGCCTGATTCACATCTCACTAGATATTTTTCCCTTTTAGAGTTTGATCCTAGTGTCCACACTATTATTTCTAAGGGAGATGGATGAAGGTCTCGTGTTTGTTTCTCAGTTTTCCTGTCAGCAACACTTTTGCAGAGGCCCTTCCTTTTAACATTGTACAACTGTTTAAATATCTCTTCAAGGAGAATGGGAAATGGTTTTAATAGCCAGATAGTCTGGGAAGAAGGCCCAGGAGATATGATACATCTGGGTTCCTGTCCAAAGCTAGCCCTTTTCTCAGGCTTTCCAAAATGAAAATCTTAAACTTCCACCTCTATAACATGCAATTAAAAGATGCCAGATTCCTGCTTTCACTTTAATGGACCAACCACCAATGTGCATCCTGCCCTGAGAACAAAGGTCGTAACCTTGCCATACCCCTACCTACTAGAATATCAAAGCCCATGGTCTCCATAAGTTTGGAAGGAAGCCACCTCTGCATGCCCTCCCGAAATGGAGAGTCTTCTCCATGCAAGGTGGAGTGTTACTTCTGCTTTTAATAAACCTTGATTGGACATTGTACCTTGACTGGGTGCTGTGACTGCACACCTCATTTTGTAATTTCGTACTCATAAAATAATGGACCTGAGATCAAATAATGGGCTGCATCAGCACCAATATAAATATCCACAGATGTCACTTTCTTTGGGTTCCAGCATGGCTCTGTGTTCTCTAAGCTATGTGCTGTGTTGTGAACTATTTAATTCTACTCTCCCTGCTCTATCATTTGCTCTACTGCCCCCTGCAAAGGCCGATCTGGGATCATGGATATCACCAAGTCCAGTTTCCTCTCAACACAGAGGATGCAGACACTTGCTGGCTAAGCACCAAAGCCAGCATAGGACTGTCCATTATCTGTAGGGTCCCACAAAAAACAGTCCTCAGTTGTCCCCATTTTTTGGATACTCAACCCCCACCACACTGTCCTCTTTGGCATTTGGGCATGCTCACCAGCATCTGTCCCTTTGTGGAATATTGGTTCTACCTGGATCTTCGGAAGTGGATTCTTCCTGTTGCTTAAGACTCAGCTTATCTGTTATCATTGCTGCCAAATTGTCTGCTGTCCACTCAGCACCAAACGTCTATTGCCATCTGAGTTCCAGATACAGAGAAGGAATAGAAGACAGAAGTCTTTATTTTAAGAAAGTTGTAATGCTCAGATTTAATGAAACTTAGTTACTTTGTAGTTCTGCTTCAACATTAGATCTGCATTGCTTTCTTCTTTCTCTTTGTCCTTCTCTTCCTCCTTCTCCTCCTTCTCTTCCTTCTCCTTTTCCTTCTTCTCATCATTCTCCTCCTCCTCCCCTCCCTCTTCTTCAACTTCTTCTTCCCCTTCTTCCTCCTCACTCTCTTCATGCTCCCTCTTCCTCTTTCTTCTTCTTCTCCATCTCTTTCTTCTTCCTCTTCTTTGACATCTATAAATGATTTTATATTTCATGGGTTCTTTTGTTCAAAAAATAAAGTCATGTATACTGAATAACATTCTGTCTTTCTCGATGTATTTGTTAGAAGCTACAACACAATACAAAAATAAGCGCACCAAATTATCAACATTGTAAGACTAATTTTTAAACCATGCAAAAACTGGTAGTGTATTGGGTGAATCTGGCAATTTGAAGCCAGTTATCTATGGATTCAGGAGAACTGAGGAGGTTATGGACATAGTTCAAGTATTGCTTTTTGAATTTCACTTTGAGTTCAGGCTTTTCCCAGAGAAGACACAGAGATATTTCTCTGATTGCAAAGCTCAGAATCCCCTTCACAAAGTCCCATATCCAGAGTTATTTATCTTGTCTAGAGCCCAGGATGTTGCCATGTATCTGAAGTATCTCTCTATGGAATATCATCTTCTTTTAATTATCCCCCAAAGCACATCTCATTGACATTTTCATATTGTCATTTCTTATATTGCTGCCCTACATCATGGAGAGACCAATGGTAATTTTGATTTATCTCCACTGCATTGCTTAAATGAAGACTTGCCGTTGAATTAAAGTCTTACAAGCTTCATAGTTGCAAATCTGATCCAATAAGAGAAAGGATATAATTGCTGTTGAATCCCACCATATAACGTTCACTCAGGAAGCAATTTCACTTTGACTTCCTTTGCGAAGGAAATTAGGATCATTTGTTGATCACTTACTTTTTTTTTTTTTGTCACAGAAAGCTTTTATTAACATGGAGGAACTCAAGAACACTGAAGCCCCTGTACTGCAAGCCTCTGAATGAGTATGAGCAGGGAGGGGCAGTAGGAGGGGACCCTGTCCAGCACGTATGGTCATCACCCAACTGATAGGCTTGCATGGTTAGGAGGAAGGCTTTTGGTGGATAGCACATTTGTGTGGCTCTAAGAGTTCAGCCTTGACAAGCAGGTTTCCCCACCAGACAAAAAACAGCCAGAACCAGGGACAACAGCTGCACAGACACCACCTTAAAATGGAAATTAATGAGGCTGATTACATCAGGAGGCACATTTCACCCTGATCATAAAACAAGAGCAAGAAGGCGGCTGGGGCTCTACTACACAGCCTTTCCTAGATAAGATACTTTTAAATATCAAACACCTGCAGGGCCTTGCTCCTTGAGAACAGTACATGGCCTCCCAGTCAGCCTTTAAGACTACTGTTATTTCTGTTATCTATTATTATTTGGATTTTGAACAAAATTGATGGAGTAGGAGCCTGTAGAAGAATCCTGCTTGATCTGGAAATTTTCTGTGGAGAGCCCAAAAGGTCGCAGAACCAAGTTGCCGAGATCTTTTAGTTTACCTAACATCTCTTTTTTTAATTTTTCATTACGTTCTTCAATTTGCCTAGGTAATCTCATACAAGATTCTCTTGCTTGATGGACTGATGGATCTTTTTCTAATATCGATTTATAATCTTCCAGTGCTTCATCTAGTTTGTCCGTTTTCTCATACAACTCTGCTCTCCTCAGTATTGCACGGATATAGCCAGGGTTTAACTGAATTGCTTTGCTGCAGTCACTGATGGCCATCTCCTTCTTGTCCTGTTTCATTCTTGCAGCAGCTCTATTTGAAAACAGAACAGATCAATCTTTCTGGAAACAGGATGGGCACATCTGAAGGGCTTGACTGTAAGAACTCTCAGCTTCTACGTAATCTCCTCTCTTAAACTGTTCATTCCCCTCCTCCTTTAGTTTAGCGCTCTCTTCTCTTCTTTTCTGTTTCTCTTCTTCTGGCATGTTTTTTTCCAGTTCAATTAGGTATTCTTCATCCAATTCAGAACTTGAGTCATCACTGGCTTTGTTCCCCAACATGTGCGCCCCTGATTGCTCCTCCTCAAATGAGGCACTACAGTCATGAAAACACTCCTCTTCCCCATGGTCCTCCTGGGGACGCGTTTCAGCATCCTTTAGTGGCTTGCTCTGATCCTTGGGATCAGGGACCTGGGGGCTAGCAGACACTGCTCCCTGAGAGTCTGTAACTTTCAAACCATTGAACAGATCTTCTGGAAGCTTATAGTTTTCTGACTTCTCCTCCATGCTGAGTTCAGGGAAGGAAGCAAGGCTAAATGTCTCACAGCTCCGCTCTCTACCGCTCCGGCCTCCGAGACCCTCTGATCACTTACTTTTAACATCAACTATCTCTTTTCCTTGCATGTAACAAAATTTCTGCATCATATGTACCTAGATTACTGTAACGTCCTATGAAACGGTCGGCACTCAAAGCACATGTCTCAAGCTTCGGTTTCAAGATTTTACTTGGCCTGGTCCAGTTATCTCTAGTAAGAAGACAACATCAGGCTCCTGGAAGGAGAAGTGAACTACTGGAGAATTTCTTGGTGGAAACAAATGACCTCAGGTTGATATCATCTCATGGAAAAGCTGTGTGGTCAGTTCAGTCTGCTACTTGAGTTGAGGATTCACCTCCATGTCAATTACTCAACTTAAAATTTGGAATTGTTTCTAGTTGGTTATTTGGCGATTAGAACCCAAGCAAGAATAAAGTAACAAGCTAAATGCCATAGGATGACACAACTGAGTTATGTACGGAGGTTGCAAATCAGCTTTGCATGCTTTCTCTGCATATTGCAGTCACTGCGTGCCAGTAAATTGTTGCCCATGGAACCACTCTTTTCTGATCTGGCATCCATCCCTCTTGCTAGTAGATGGAGACATGGTTGTTCTTACTTGATGGTCAGTGACAAGACATCCACTTCTGACGTTAACATGTTAGGGGCAGTTTGAGTGTCCCTCGTTCCTTTTTTCTTTCTACTGTAGCCCCTAGAAATATAGCTTGGAAGATGGTACCCACAGCTGATGAAGAATCCTTCCACCTGTAGCTGAGTGTGGGCAGTGAAGCTCCTGTTATAAGGCACGTGCAAGGGATGAAACTTAAGCCACTGATATGCAGAGATTCTTTGTTACATAACCAAACCGGCCCTGACTGATATGAATTCCAGGATGCTCTTGGTTTCTCCCATATAAGTGAATTACGCTAAGTGAGAGATCATGTAATGATTTGAAGACACCGTTTTCCCCCTCACTTTTTAAATGTTGTATTCCTTTTGCATATAGCATTTCTATAATAAAAACTGGAATGATCATTTCCACAAGAAAACTAAGCTAAAACAGAGTGCTTTTATTATCTATAGATAAGCACAATTCATTGAAAAGGCTAAAAAGAAAAAAAAAATCTATATGTACTTATTCTCAACATCAGGCCTTTTTCATTCACAGAACAATTTCTTGGAGTTTTTCTGGGCTCACATCCATTCCTTGCCTCTCATAAAACCCCTTACCAGAATACCACAGTGCTTAAATAATGAAAAAAAAGAGGATAATAGCTTTTTGGATATAAAACCTGAAGTAATTGTATTGTATGGCATGTCTGTGGCCTTAATGTAAATTATTTTTTCCTTTGATTCCTTCCCACTATGCTAATAGCATGCCCTCCAGAGTAATCAAGTTACCCAGCCAACTAAGCTCTTGCATTACTAAAAAGTATTACCCGAGAACAGCATGCAGCCACTAAAGCTTCCCCCATCCTGTGAAAAATGTAAGAAGGAAAGCCATTCTGGAGCCAGTTTGGACTTTGTTGAGCTTTTTCCTTCTACTAAGCTCATGCTAACAATTTAAAGACAGAGTAAGCTTCGGGCTTACGGTCACAGCACTGGCACCAAATATTCTACTTATTGCTACACTTCAGAAGATATACTCAGATACAAGGTGAAATGTTAACATGCTTTAACCATGTCCAAATCAAGCTTAAAATATGCAACTACTATTTAAATACTGAATATTAGTTTGATAATAAAATCAAATAGAATTTTTTACAGTTTTTTTCATTTTAGTATTGTAAATAAGTAATTACATACATGTACAGCAACCTCCAGTGCTTCACTGAGCTTGCCGTTTTTTTTTTTTTTCTTTTTTCTTAAGATTTTCTTTATTTTACATGTGAGTGTTCTACCTGCATGTACACCTGGAGGCCAGAAGAGGGCATTAGACCCCAGTAGAGGTGGTTGTGAGCCACTATGTAGCTGCTGGGAATTGAACTCAGGACTTCCAGAAGAGCAGACAGTGCTCTTAACCACTGAGCCATTCTTTCCAGCCCAAACTGAATATTTTTAAGTTAAGGAAAGTAGAAAGAAGGCAAAACGAACTTGCCATTCTTGACTGTGCTCCTCCATGGTGGCACTTGTGGCGTTTGTCTAATGCAGAAATAGATTCTTGCAAATGATGATACTATGGAGGCTCGTGTGTGTACAAATCTTTGGAAGTCGGGGATCTAGGTCAGAGGCAGAGTGATTCCCTAGCATGTTCGAGGTCCTCTGCTCAATCGCACCCATCTGAAAACGAAAGAAATAACGAAGTCATTAAGCTGCTGCATTACAGTATTTAAGTGCTCAGCCAGCCCAACTGTCTTTTCATCCCCTGCCCCAGGCTTCATGGACTTCTTCTGAACTTGGGTTTGTCATACAGACAGGATCTTCTGACCACGTTTGGTTGGCTTTTACTAACCCCTTTGTCCAATTCTCTCCATTCCTTGCTCTGCTTATTTCCAAGCTCCGTTGACAGTTGCCTCCCTCCAGCAAGGACACCATGGGAGAGGAGAGCAAGTGGGGCAGTGGAGCTGCCAAGGTCTGTCCTCTCTACTTCTCTCTTGCCCTCCTTTCCCCACACCTCATGCCTTTCCCTTTCTCCTTCAGGCAGAGTCTTTCTTTAAAAATAAAAAAATAAAAAAGTGGTATCTCTTGGTGGAGTTCTAAAAGGCACTATCTCCAGACAATGCATACCATGTCATTATACCCAAAGCGAACATGGGCTGTTCCTCATTCATTTGCTTCGGTCCCATGTTTGTCGGTAGTTTTGTCTCGGTCAGGCTACAGCATGACTGCCATTTCCTCTCTAAACATCGTCTCCACCATTCTACCTGTTCCCATGATCGGCCACTGCAACTGGGCACAGGTGAGAATGTCTCCCTCTCTTCTCAGGTGGAAAACTCCTTTTCACAGTTCCCATCCTTGAGCGTTTCTGGTTTATGCCTTCCAGGCGTCCTAATTTTTATGCCACTGTGTCTAATAAATACTAAATCACCCACTCTGTTTTTGAACCCTGAAGGATGGATCTTTCACTCACTGGAGTGTCGCTCTGTTTCCTTTCTTTTTTCCTGCTCAGATTTCACAATTTCTTTCTTCCATGTTATAGAATAATTTTGAGTGTTTACTGTCAAATAATTCCAATAACTTCAGTACCCGCTAGCCTGGTAGTTCTGAAGACGCTTAATCTCATTTATTCCACATGTGTTTCCTACAACTTGTTCTGACCAGGCTCCTCAGAGTCTCTCTACGAAAAGACGAGATTAATATTTAAAGTGCATCCCTGTGGAGAGGAGCCACGTTCCCTCAACAGCACAGCTACTGGTAGACCTGACACAATCCGTTAGAAAAGGGTGTTTGTTTTGATTTGTAGTTTCAGGCGGGATGTGGCCCACCGTGTCAAGAGGACTTGGGGCAGGAGTGTGAGCCACTGGTGGCTCCTTGTCTGCAGTCAGGACGCAGAGAACAGAAGCGGGCACTCTTACCTTCTTATTTTTTCATTTCTCTTTAGTTCTGGGTCCCAGCCCATAGGCTAATGCTTCTCTATACAGTTAAACTTCTCTGGAAAAATCCTCACAGACAGACATGCAAAACAGACACAAAGTTGTGTCTCCTGGGTTATTCCAGACTCAGTAAGTTCAAGCCGGTGATGAAAATCAGCTATCCAGCCGGGATTACCATTACCAGCCCCCCCCCCCAGAATTCATCTATGCTGATGACTTTCTCCAGTCATTTTAGTGGTTGCACCTTTTTTCCTTTTTGTTTTGTTCTGTTCTCACTTCTTCCTACCCGAGACAATGGACAAGTCTCTATGAAGGACCAAATTCCTTTTTCCAGGTGCCAAATGAGTGCAGACTTTACCACAGAGCTGACTGCTCCTCCACCAGCTCATTTTTCTTGAGCAAGTGGGTTAGTCTCTGCTTCTTTACAGCTATTTAATACAGCCTTGGTCACAGGGCTCTCAAGATGACTTTAAGGCTAAAGGTAAGCATCAGTTTGCACTGTGTCCTTTTGTGCAACAGGCTGTTCTTAGGGAGAGCCTTGCTCAGTTGTGCAGATGAAGCACACATTTAAACAAGTTTGAAAGCATTGCATTTGACACTTTGATCATTCTCTAAGGTGGAATGGACTAACTGATACTCAAGGGCTGTCTATACAGGCCATAGGAAAAAAGCAGACAGGAAGATTATAAATGCTTGTGTTCTCTTGCTCCTTTTCTACATTACGGTGCTTTGGGAGAAAAAGCTAAAGACACTCTTGCAAAAATAACTATAATACAGAGGAGACATTTCACAAACATTTCTGTGCTACACTAACTCCTCCAGGCGTCCGGCTCTTGAAGCAGCTGAGCTGACTACCTTAAAGGTTCCTGTCTGGCCAAACCTGGGGGAAGAATGTTCACTATTAGCTTTGTCAAATGTCATCATATAGTCAAGCCATATAAAATCTAATGCCCCGTCAGTCATAAAATGTGATCGACGTCAGTTTCTATTACATCACTCAGTGCCCTGGAGGAATCGTTGTAATGATAAGCAGAATGTGAAAGTCAGCTACAGCAACAGTTAGAGCCTGAAATGTGTATAATTATGCTATCATTTCTATTTGTTCTGGGTATTTTCTTTTCTTTTTGTCACTTTCATTTTGGTATGCTGTGTTATAAGCTGCCTCAAATCCCAAAAGGGGGGAGGGGAGACAAATAAATTATTTTCTTAATGCGTGCATGTTGAACAAGGGAGAATTCCGAATTTCAAAGATCAATTTTGAAATTGTCAGCATTATCAAATTGAGTAATAATGACTGAGTCATTTGTACTACGAGTCTCGGTAGCTCACAGAAAGTGACTAGTGATCCAAGAAAACATGTCCATAGGGTGTCTAAAGAAAGATAAAATCCTGTATAGGTAAGTGGAAAAAAATATTGTAACCAAATCCATGGTAAAACTTGGATTTGAAATAAAGCTGCACTGTCCCAGC